AGGGAATGTTGCTACTATTCAGCCGTAGAACGGAATAAAGTGCAGCTACACAGAACAGCATGAACGAACCTTGAAACCAGTGTGCTCTCTGTCAAGGAAGCCAGTCAACGAAAGCCACATATTGTTTGATTTCATGTCTACGATGTGTCCAGAATAGGCAAGTCCAAAAGAGAGAGTCTCACTTAGGATAAAATGCCAAATCCCCCACAGGGCCTTCCCCTCAACTCCTACCCATTTCTTTCCCCTCTGCTCCCTCCACTCCGGCCACCTGCCTGCCACCTGGCTGTCTCTCAATGCAACTTTTGCTTTTTGGGGTCTCTCTTTTGACCTTGAAGCTTATAGGTATTCGTATCTCGCTCTTTATTTATTTATTTATTTATTTATTTATTTATTTTTGTGTTTATTTTTGAGAGTGGGGACGGGCAGAGAGAGAGGGAGACACAGAATCCAGAAGCAAGCTACAGGCTCCGAGCTGCCAGCACAGAGCCCGACACAGGGCTCGAACTCACAAACTGGGAGATCGTGACCTGAGCCGAGGTCAGACGCCTAACTGACTGAACCATCCAGGCACCCCTGTATCTCGCTCTTAAGTCTCCCTTGTTATGTTATAAACTCCAGGAGTGTAGAACGGTGTCTTGCAGATCATGGGGCCCCTTCAGCAGACCATGACTATTAAGATAACTCAGTGCTTGATGAATGACTAAGGAAACAACGGATCCATTCATTCGTTCCACATGGTTAGATCCACTTTCTGGCATCATGCCTTAATACCTTCCTATTTTCTTTGCTTTTTTTTTAAGTAAACTCTACCCCCAACATGGGGTTTGAATTCACGACCCCGAGATCAAGAGTCGTATGCTCTACGGACTGACCCAGCCTGGTGCTCCTATACCTTCCCATTTTGAATCACAGCCTTTTCATTCACCTGCTCAAAACCCTCAGATGGCTTCCCAAGACTTTAGAACAGGAGTCTATAAACTGTGGCCCTCGGGCCAAATCACCTGCCCACCACCTGTTTCCCTCTAGCCCTCGAGCTAAGAATGTTTTGTTTTGTTTTTTTTATATTTAAAAATAGTTGGGGTGGGGGGCGGTGCCTGGGTTGCTCAGTTTTTTAAGCATCCAACTTTGGCTCAGGTCAGGATCTTCACGGTTCATGAGTTTGAGCCCCGCATCAGGCTCTGTGCCTGGAGCCTGCTTCGGATTCTGTGCCTCCCTCTCTGCCCCTCCCCCACTCACACTCTGTCTCTCTCTCTCTCTCTCTCAAAAACATTAAAAAATTTTTAAAAATAAAAATAGTAAAAGTAGTTGGAAAAAGGGGTACCTGGCCAGCTTAGTGGGTGAAGCGTGCGACTCTTGATCTCGGGGTTGTGAGTTCGAGCCCCACGTTGGGTGTAGAGAGTACTTAAAAATGAAACCTTAAAAAAAAAAATGTTGAAAAAAACTAATAAAAGTTTGGGGAACCGGTGCCAGGCTGGCTCAGTAGGTAGTGCATGTGACTCTCAATCACAGGGACGTCAGTTCAAGCCCCGCGTGGGCATGGAGCCACTAACTAAATAAATAAAAGTAACTTGTCACATGCATAAATTATATGAAATTCGAATTTTTTAGTGTCCGTAGTAGAGTTTTACTGGCACAAAACCACAGGCTCTCATTTATTTGCTGTCTGTGGCTGCATTTGTGCTACAAGGGTAGGGTCGAATAGCTGCCAACAAGAGACCGT